GGGAAATGGTGTGGGGCTTTTGGGGGAAATATTTGGGTGGGCTGGGTTGGGGCATGGAGATTCAAGCTCTTGTGTGGGGCTGCTTCTCTTCCCCCCACCCCCAGTGGAGACCAAGCCGTCAGCTGGAGGTCCCTGGGGCTGGGATCTTGAAGACCCTCCCCACTGACTCCCTCCGGCACTGCCTCGCTGTCGGCAGAGCCCGCTGTACTCTGCTTTTGGGAAGGGATGAGAGAGGAGAAAGAAGGAACCTTTTCCATAGTGTTAGAGAATAGAACATACCATTATTGAAATATTTTTCTATTAAAAAAAATTATTTTTATCTAACTTTAACAAACTTATTATTAAAGTTATTTTCTTTTTGGTCCAGTGTTATACTTCCCCTGCCAGAGAATGTGAAAGAATATTTGCTGGATGATGGAACACTTGTGGTTTCTGGAAGGTAAAGAGCGTTGTTCCTGCCCCTTCAACGAATACTGTTTTGTATTTGCATCTAGAAATTTGCATAATGAGTTTTGTAAATTTGACCGGTCTGGCTGCAGTAAACCTAATACTGTGTGAACATGTGAACGGGCTATTAGTAAACATGTGAACGTGTGTATTAGCTAACGTGAGAACAACGTGATAAGGTCAGTGCCTGATGCAAATCCTAAAATCCATGTAATATACTTGATTCTAGACCAGCTGGGGACAGTTCTCTTCAGTTTTCTCTGCCTTTCTATGCAGAGCCAGCCTATTTTTGGGGTTTCGGTGCACGGCTTGCTGATTTTTGCTTGGTTGCTTTGGTATAGTTAGCTCCGGTTCTAATGCTTGAGGTGTGCCACGCCACTCGTGTGCCTGCAGCCTTGTTCAGCAATGACACGTCATTACTAGAATTTAACTCTTAGTAAGATAAACTAAAATAAATATCAAATCTTACTAATTATTGAGCTTGTGTGATCATTTGAATACATGTAATCTGTGCGCAGGACTAGGCCTAATGTCCTACGTATACACCTGTGCCAAGGTTTTTGGATGTAGAAGGATGCAGTAGATAGATGTAAGAAAGAGAAGTTAAGAATTGTTTGTTCTTACTTTGAGACCTTGAAACAGTAAGTATCCAGAAAATTAGAATTGTTTTTTTGAACAGTTTTGAGTAAAAGTAATGTTGTCACCTGCTTCTACTTAATTATGTAATCTGTTTAGCCACAGCCGTGTAACTTGTAATCAGACTTCAGAAAAGCTGAAACTGATGGTTTGAGTGTGCAGCTATGGCTCATGAACAATTTCTGCTGTCTTCAGTGGCGTGATGGACAGCTGTATAATAGATTTAAGTTACATTTTAAAGCTGTTTCCATTTTAAAATCCTTCTAAAAAGACAGTTTTTCTGTGAGCTAGAAGTTGATGTGATCTTCCTACGGTCAAGGCGAACATCAGTTTTAAACCTCAGTGAGTCAGTATCTGACCTTCTAGATCTCAAAAACTGAAATGATAGTTTAATCCCCGTGGAAGTGCGTTAAGGAACTGTGGAGACTTAGCTTGTTGTAAATTGGCTTTTTACTAACACCGCTTAGCTGCAGAGATGTTATTTGAACTTATCCTACTTGCTACACTGACTTGCTGTAAATAAGTCTTTTTGAATGACGTGGTCTTCTACTTTTAAAATCTTTATGCTCAGTGGTGTTGTCTAGAGAACTTCAAAAATCATCTTCATAGGAATATTTGCAATCAAGTGCCTCCTACCAGATATGCTGCTATTTACAACAGCTAATCTCCTATGTGCAGAAAAAGGAACTTCTCATGAAGAAGTTAGTGACCCTGAAACCAAATTCTGTAGCCTGCGTGAACGTTTACAAACTGTAGGATCTTTTTTTGAATTTTACAAGTTTGTGCTTGGAAAAGGAATGGGCAGGGCAGCATAGAATAAAGTGAACTTGTAGAGAATGCTGCTGAATTCATGCTGTTGTGAGAGTGCAGGAAACTTTCAGAGACAATGATTAATAGACCCTTGAAGAAGGTTGAATTATGGTGTTTTCAGAGCAGAAAGTGATCTGCTAATTGGAATGAAGCAAAAAGTTTTGGATAGGGCCCAAGTCTAATGCCAAGGTGTTCTGTCTTCACTTTTTTTTTTACTGACTTGCTCTGATTTCTCTGCCAGGTGTTGTGAGGCTTAATCCACTTATGAAAGCATTTTGAGATCAATAGCCGATATGTGCTGTGCAATCCCAATATATCTGGTCAAGTCACGCTCCAGTGCTCAAAGTTTTCCTCCCCTTCCCTCCCCCCACCTTGTTGTTTTAGAGAAGATCCGCCAACTCATTCTCAAGAGGGGAGTGATGACGAAGCAGAGGAAATACAGGTCAGTGAAAAATGTAACTTAATGTGAAATCTATTGAGAATATTTGTCAGTATCAATATTCAACCACTTTGGCCTAGTTCATAGGGAGGATAGTATGTCACAAAAATAATAATGGCATGTTTTTTGCTATGAAAAACTTACAACCATGGTTATGTATACAGGGGTGTCAGAGAAGACTTAAAATGTTTCTGTGCTCTTTCACACAAAACTTCTAAAAAATCTTTGTAATTGTCATAATAAGTAGCGAACGTTTAAGGGTGTTGCAATTGAAATTAACACCGTTTCAGGCTCCAAAAAATTAGGAGAAGTGGGTTTGGAGGAGTTATTTCAAGGAACAGAGAAAGTCTCTGAGGCCATAACAGATCACAGGAGTAACCCAGAAGAAAAACCCTGAGAAACGTTGTGAGCCCAAGATGACAAAAGGTACAAAAAGAAAGTGAAAAAGGAGTAGTTTCACCTGTAGATGAAACTGTTGAATCCTGTGTCTAAGGTTGCAAGTGCTGGAGATAAGCTTTAGACAGGCAAGACTGCATTGAGTCCTCAAATGTCCATATTTCTGGCGTAAATCACAATCAACATTCATAGGTG